GCTTACGATCTAGTGAAAACCATATTCACGGAGTCGGAAGCAGAAGCTTAAAGATAAACCAATCACAATACACGTTCCCACGCTTTGTGATTTGTTAAGTTCTTCCGTTTCTGATTGCGACTCCGACAACCTAGTAGTAAGCGCTGTTTTCACTAGCTCGTAATATATGCTCTACACTTCTGATTCCGACTCCGACTCCGTCGCTAGTGACAACCAGCCTCAAGTGCCTACTTGAGGGTTTGTTTTTATTCGAATAAATACGGTATTGTATCTGCAGCCTCGCATATTTGTGATCAGCTACCACCAATAAACTACTGAGCAGATAGAGGGGGTTAGGGTGCGTATTTAAGGGTGAAGGCTGATAGGTGAATATTCCCGAGAGCCGCCAACGGATAAGAGTCCTGGGTTATCATACAGTGTGGTACGAAGTACACCACAGCGTTCTACATATACTAGCACAAATATTACAGAAAAATTTCGCGAGTACCATTGACCAAGTTAAAGAAGGACGAATTAGCAATGAGCTGGAAGCCACAGAAGGATGGTTGAAGAACACCGATTACGTATATAGGCGTAAGGAGTGTTTTTGGTATAAATGCGCGCAAGTTACTCAAAGTATATATTCTAACCAGCAATACATTTACATTTCATTTCATTTATTATCTAATGTTTAGATGGCATACATTTAATTGTTGTTTCTACGTTAAAAAAATAACAAAAGACAACGGTACTAGAAAGGAAAGTGTGTAAAGGAAATGCCAAGAGTCGTGGACGTCATTTTATCATCAATAAGAAGACATACGATATAAAAAAAACTGGCGTCAATTTCCTTTTTACAATAAAAAAAAGCTCGATAACGTCCAATTTTGCCGGTAAAAATGAAGGAAACGCAACAAAATTTATGACTTTTTTAAACTAGCGCAATGTTAATGTAAATAACGTTTCTTACGCGCTGATTGATTACTGAAGACAAGTAACGGACTTTATAACAGGTTGAATCACTCCACTGCCCTGCATAAATTAGGAATTAAATTATTCTCCAAACTCCAGAGCAAGAATGAAATCAGATCAATTTGTTAAATCCTTACCCCACCCTACGGGCACCCTCTAGGACACCTCATTGTAGCGGACAGTTTGCTTTCGCCTTACGTTTTCCCTAAATACGGACCCTCAGTGTTCATATTAACGGGGCTTGACTGTACGTCACAGACAATTATTTTAAAATCTGCTGTTTCGGCAGCCTTGATTTGATTCTATTTGGCATGAGTTTTGACGGCTTGTTTAATACTTCAAT